GCCTTTCTCTCCTTTATTTTGAAAACCAGTCCGCCCCATTAAACGTTTAGTTTTTTTTCAGTTATTCGCCGCCTCATCATTTATCATTCGTGACAATATTTTGCTCTTTATAGTCGAAGTGCATAAAATAGCCCTACGATACTTTTTTCATGTGTTTTGTGTCGTTGCGTGCAAATAAACCATTCTGGTAACCCAGATTTGCGTAGCTGCAGAATTGTCGTTGTCAATGACGTCGATGCAGATTAAGCAATGCGGAAGTATCTTCAAAAGTAACTGAAATACATTTCGAAGTATTTGTGTTCTACTCAAGATACTTTACAGTGAAAGTAACTTGAGTAGTATTTTAAATACTTTATGATGCTGGTATTTAGTAACTTATCTTAAATACTTTTATCGAGTATTTTGTCTAACACTGCTTCCATGTACCTTTTCTCAAATGTCGAACCTAGCTATTCTGGTGATGTCTCTGTTTTGTGCTTTTGATTTCCCTTGTTGATTTGAGTGTATTTACGTACTTGCTGATATTTTGATCCTCAGACTGGTAAACTACGTTCCCCTTCTGCACTCGTGCGTATTTTTGTATGCATGAGTGCGTTTTTTTATAGTTTTTTTAAGTGTCAGCACTAGGACCGATCGATTGTTCCTGGACACTATTATAAACACAGATGGATTGATTGATTTAGTAGTAATAGTAAGAGTAGTACTGGTGGTGGGTGGTGGTGGTTGTGGTGGTGGTGGTATACCTTTTACTTGTTTTACCTCTGCCGCCGACTGCACAGTGAGAGCGTCTAACACTGTTATCTGATAGCTCCCATGGATTGGATTATGTGCTCTCAGCCACTGCCATCCGATGGTAGGTTCTTAACCTGTGCGGCCTGTCAGAACGGTTATCACCTTAGTAAGGCATGCTCCGGGGTCGCAGAATGTACATTTTCTGGAATGGGCGTGTCCAGGAGAGAAAGCTGGAAATGCCCCACTTGCCGTTCCGGGGAGCTTCGCTCCGGCCACGGTGTAGGAAGGCTCTTTAGGTGTAGAGACTCCGCTCTCCGCCGCGACCAGGTAATGACACCCCGCGCGCTTGGCTTCACGGAGCCACCCCCAGATGGCGCCGTAAGTTTGAGGCCATCCGGCAGCGCACCGGGCCGCCTGTGCTAGCTGCCTGCTCGGCATGCAGCTTGCTTTCTGGTGGCTACGGGTTCGCGTACGATGTCGTATGTAGGTGGGGCCATTCAACTATCATCTCTCTCAGTACACTGAAGTTTTAATAACCCAAAAAATGGATGAGGACAAACAAGAGTAACTCCCTAATACGAGCCGACGCAGCGGTCTACGAGTGAAAAAGAAATATCCCTCTCCTGTAGATAATTTCTAGCCTAGCTTACATTCCGTCGTTTGTTTCCTCAGTAGAGCAATAGTAACGTCGGGAAGCGTTTGTAAAATGAATAAACTCTGATTGTAGCGGAGGTAAACGATAACTTGAGTGCGACCGAAAGAAAAAAAATTCACAAAAATAAAGAATGATTAACACAAACCTTGTTAAGGGATAATAAGGAACTGAATTGCTTTAAGCACCGTTCACATGACTTTTCTAAAAATATATATATATATCGGGTTGGCAAATTACCGTTGATTTGACTGGACAACTAAAATACAATTTTTTTCTTCAACTTGTGGGGCAGCTAACGCGATTATTCTTTTACATTTTAAGGCAGCCTTTGAGTCCTGCTAAATTGAACTGCTGGTCGAATTTGCGCCAAGTTACACATTTTGCACGCAGACGTTAATGAAACCAGAATTCTTTGAAAGGTTCACTTTGTTACTACACTTACATTTGCATGTAGCAGATTGCAGCAAAAGATTATAGTAACCACACTCGTCCAGTAAATCAAACCGGTTTTATTAATGGCATTTCTGATATAAGTATAATACTATTATTATCACAAACTTTAAAAGAATCCCTGTAAAAAACGCTGTAAAAAACCGCGGTTAAAACATTGCTCAATGTATGGCACACTCTATGGCTGCTTTTGGAGTTCTTTTCGACATTACGAGTCGCACAGTCGGGACTCTTTCTTCTTTTCTCGAGACTGCTTCTTTGCATCTCGTTTTTTTTCTTTGCAGTCCTGTCGCATTCTCATGCGATCCGAACCCTTCTGCACGTTCGACCGAAACCGGAGAAGCGTCTTCCTTCCATGGAGGCGTCTGCATTCCACGAGAACGCCAGACAGAATCCGACCCTGAACAGATGGGCAGACTGTTGTGTCTGCGTCTACCGCATGCAAGACAATCCCCTACGAGGCTCCTTCAATTTGTAGAGAACAACGACCGAGCATGTGACTGATCCATTCGTCAGACGTCTTTATCCTGATCGTCTCTTTTACTAATATTTTCATCTCGATGTTTTCCCTTTCTAAAATGTTTACGTTTCCCCAGGCTGGAGAGCAGTCGGCGCATTCATTCAAATGTTTGGCTTTGGATCTTTGGTTTTTATATATCTTTTATGCTCGGTTCACCATTAAAAAAAAAAAAAACTTAAAAAAGTTGGAAACAATTAGAGGCGGCGTAAGCAATGGCTGACTTAGCCCACGGTCCGGCGGAGGGCCGGCGTCCGGACAGCCTGAACGTTTTGGCGCCCTCTAGGGGCAGGCGGAGAAAACATAGGAAAGGAGGGGACCTGATGTGTTCGCCGTTGCGACGGGGCGAGGAGAGGAGTCTCCACACCTAAAGAGCCTTCCTACACCGTGGCTCCGGCTCTGGCGCAAGTGAGAGCATTCTGGTAGCTGACTCCTCTAGGGCTGTTAGAACCAGCCGAGGAGAGTCACAGATGCTAGTGTTGCTGTCCCTAGTATACATACTCAGTTGGCTCCCATTGGAGCCGCACTAAATGATCTTCTTTCTTTAAAAAGCTAGCGTGGAGACTCTTCTGCCCCAGCCAGCAAAAGTCGATCTATTGCTAGCTCTGCAACCTGCAGTCGAAGAACTACGTAGCACTGTCCGCGAACGTCAGAACACTGTTGCCTCTTTTGGAGCAAAGTACGAGTTTGTGCAGCTTTGGCTATGACAAACGAAGAGTCTGTAAAAAATCTGCACAACGAAGTCGCTCCGTCAGGGCTACAATGCTGGAGCAATCTCAGGAAATCGTGCGCCTAAAGCAGGAGCTAAACGAGTCGCAGCAATATAGTCGCCGGTGCAATATGGAAGCGCGCGGCCTCTCTTTCGTCCAGGGAGGGGATTTGATTAAGGTCATAGAAGATCTCTCCGTGAAGCTAAATCTTTCATTGGTTCAGTCATCAGACATTCTTGCAATTCATCGCCTTCCAAAAAGATATGACTTGTCTCCAACGGTTCACATTACTTTCGCTGCACCAGCCATCAAGAATGTTTGGATGACAGCTCGTGGCCAGTTACGGAGACTCATGAGACTCAGCCATCCTGGTCCCCAGCTGAGGTTGTTTTTCAATGATAATCTTACCGCAGCGAACAAGGAGATATTTTGGTTTGCGAGATCGAAGGGCAAAGAGTCTGGATTCCGATTTGTATGGATCGAAAATGCTAAAATATTTGCAAGGAAAGAGGAAGTGTCGCCTGCCATACGTATTAGTACAGTAAGGGATATCGGTAAACTTGTGGAAAGAATGACAACTTGTTTCTCGATCTGTTCCGGATCGTATTTCGTCTAATCAGGTGCTAGAGCCTAGGTCGGTTGATTCTTTACCGCTGATTCATGTCAACATACGGAGCCTGCGAAAACATTGGAATGAGTTTCAGGTTGCGGTAAATAGTTTAACACCATCCATTGATAATTTTGTTCTCACCGTGATTGGTGTCAGTTCTTTTCAAACTAATCAGTTTATGTTATATGATTATAAAGCAGTTCTTAAAACACGTGACGCTAGCAGAGGAGGAAGTATCGCAATGGTACATCAAGGACAAGTAGCTTTTTTCGGCCTCAAACATATCCTTCCAGCATGCGGAATCATTAGCAATAAAAACAATCCACCCTGATTTTTTGTTATATATAGTGGCAATATACAGGCCTCCATCGGCAGGTCTTCCTTTTTTTCTAGCGAAATTAAAAATAATTCGTCAAGAATTGCGCTTTGAGGGGCAACTCTGTTTGTTCGGAGACGTCAATACTGACACGTTCAAATCTACTACATCTACTGCCTGTGATTATTTGACTTTCTTCTGAGAGCACGGATTGTGAAGTACAATTAGTCTCCCAACAAGAGAGGAAATTCTGTCTGGGGAACTGGTTATTTCCTGCATTGATCATTTAAACATTACAGCTACCGATATTTTGATAAAATTTGCGGTCATTACCAAAAAAACTTGGCGATCATTACTTTAGTGGGTGCCACTTGCAACGTCATGCTTTGACAGAATATTCACAGGAGCAACTGCGTACGTGTATGTATTACAGATACTAATATGCTTGACAGACTCGTCGCGGTTCTTGACTGGGACAAAATCCTTCGCTCCACTGAAGACAGTTTGTACCCTACTTTCGTAAAAATTTGGTAGCCCTTTCTTGTTGCTTCAAAAAAGGAGGTCCGTTTCAAGCACAGATCAGATAAAACATCGATTAACACTGAGATCATGGCGGCTATTAAAACCAGGAAGCGTTGTGGGCACGTTCCCGTCGAGCACCCAAGAATGGGGAGCTAAGGACTGAATTTAAAATCGCAAGGAATAGTGTCAATGCGGTTATTTGTTCTACCAAACGGCGTTACTTTTAGGGGAAATTTTTTTCCGCAAGATTTAATCCCCGAGAAATGTGGGAATTAATTAACACTTTTGGAGGCCACACAGGCCGACAACCTGTCTCTGCCGACGAAAATAATCCCTGGAGAAGGGGAACGAGGGACAAAGGACAAACACCAATCTCCAAACACAGCTAGGTGACTGGTGAGCGACCGAAAAAATCCGCCTGGTCCGGGTATCGAACCCGGGACCTCTCCGACGGAGAGGTCCCGGGAGAGGTCCAGGGATTATTTTCGTCATTCTTGTCCAGCTCGCTTGCCCCTTTGCATTTAATGGCATTATAATTAAAACCTGTCTCTGCTTCACTTCAAAAGCATGTCGGCACTGAATTGCAGTCAACCGTCGAACGTTTCAACGAGCATTTTGCGGCATCATCGGGGTTTGCCAGACACCGCAATGTGCCGTCAGCCAGTGTAAGTTGCGATGACAGAGCAGCTGGTTCGGCTTTTGTACCGCCTCTTACATGTTTGCGCTACGCTCTCTTTTGTTTAGCATAAAGCTAAATAAAACACCCGGTATCGATGACATTCGCGTTGGCGATGTAGTTAGAAATTTGGAGTTTGTCAAAAAGGTCTTGTTGGCCTTGATAAATGCGTTTTTTTCTGTCTGGCAATATCCCTACTGCCTTAAAAACTGCACTTGTCAAGCCACTTTTCAAGGGAGGCGCGCCAGATAAGCGCGAGTCCTATCGTCCTATTTCCATCTTGTCATATGCATCGCTGAAATATTAGAAAAACATTTGTTCATCGTGATCAATGGTTTTATTGATAGATATATGTTGTTACACAGCCAGTATGGCTTTGTTGCCGGCATGGGCACTCAGCCGTTGCTGGAGGATTTTACTGACCTCATTTATGGCGCCTTCAAAAATAATATATTTGCTTGTGCGCTTTTTCTAAACATAGCGAAGGCATTCGACACTGTCAGTCACGAGTTGCCCCTCCGCAAAATGTATCGTTTTGGTTTCCGCGCGGACCATTTTTTGCTATCCTTGAAAAAAAATGTTTAGAGCGTTTTCAAGTCTATCTGTTTGCGGTTTTAAAAGTGCACGCGCAGAAATAAAAGCCAGCGTTTCCCAGAGCTCGGTTCTGTCGCCTTTGCTTTTTAATCTTTATGTCAATGATCATTGAGCCGCAGTATCCAATTGCAGCATTCTCCAATATGCCGACGATACGGTAGTCATCGCTCGTCATCTGAATTATGATAGTGCAGTACGTCTATTAGAGCACGACGCGAAGAAATTATTAAACTGGTTTGATGAAAATTTATTTGCGGTCAATATGTCCAAAACAAAACTGGTATGTTTTATGAATCCAGTAAAAAAGACGAACGTTAACTTGCCAGTTATATTACACAAACGGAGCTGCGTGAATTCTGTTTCTTCCTCGCTTGAATATGTTAATACGGTAAATTATTTGGGAGTGTTTTTTTATTCGGATATGACAATTAATTCCCATTTATCGGATGTTTCTGGTAAGCTGCGAAGCGCTAGCTGCCTACTTTACCATAGCAAAGTGTTTATGCCGTTTTCTGTAAGGAAGTCTGTTGCACATGCCCTTGGGTACAGTTTATTGAGGTATGGAATCACACTGTTTGGCAATTGTGAAAAATCGTGACAAACAAAAATTGATCGTATTTTGAAGGGATTGTTAAGGAGTGTGGGGTATCACTTTGACTTTTCAGCTGATATGAATATCTTGGAATGTTTGCGAATGCCCAATTTCCATTTCCCTGTTTGCGGAAACAGTGGAGTTACGCCTCTTTGGAACAATGGTTTCAAACACCCCTTCGTTCCTAACAAGGATCTCCGGCACACGCCCCGTTTTGTCATTCCCCGTTGTGTAACTCGCTACGGTAAAAGAATTCGCTGTCATTATGTTCCATCTGTCTTCAATAAATTATTCGATTGTGTCTTTGAGTGTACTGCCCATAAAATTGAAAAACAAAAATGTTGGTGACTTCCAGAATCTAGCATTTCGTGTTCACTCTGTACTGTTTCGTTTTATGAAGTGTTCTTTTTTTGCTTTTTCTAGTTTAGAGAACTTTCGCTGTTCACACTTGCATGGTCCTGTCGCACAAGCCTCCCTTGGCTTGGACAAACCCGCGTTTGTACAGTGCTATTGAACATATGTGGACTACAATTATTATTATTAGCAGTAGTAGCAGTAGTAGTAGTAGTAGTACGTAGCAGTAGTGGTATTTTGAGAACTAATCGTGCTCGTATCTTATTTTCAGTCTCGTTGCAATCGCTATGCTCATAAAAGATTCGGGCCATCGCGGTTCTTACCGTATCAAAGTCAAACCTAAAAGAAAATTGTTTTTTTTAATGTCAATCTTTATATATTTTCATTGGTTGTTCTGTTTTCATTTTGAGTCTGCATCTTGGGTTCTGGTTCTTCGTTCGGTCATTCCCGCATCAAGTTGGCGATCGGTTCAACTCTTCGCTAAGGATGTGAGGATTATTACTCTTCCCTTAAAATCGTCCCGAGACAATTTTGTTTTGTAAAAATCGAAAACTGTATGTAAAAAACACGTACGAGATACCAAAAAATCTAATTGAGATGGAGTAGCAAATATTCACGAGCATATGTATCTTCAAAGCACCAAAATTACTTCCAAACGTAATAGGAATACAGTATCATTTGAGATAGGCACGAATCTGCGCATTATAGCAATGCGAGTGCGGCTCAGCCAAACTGCTCGTAAATCCTACAAAAAGGCGCGGCGTTCGCTATGGACATGAGCGACCGAATTATTTCCGGGAAACCCTCGCGAGCGTTCCAAGCACGCTTCTTTTATACCCACGTTTGCTTCAAACATGTACGCAGACAGTGTTTGTATGACCGGTGTAAGACCGTCAATGAAGAATACCGTCAGTAAAGATCTTCAATAAAACACACGCCTCAGACTCTTTTGTATGATGCATTGCCAGCGGTACGACGACTTTATGGGTTGGCATTCATTTAAACGCTGTTCTAGTCAATGGAAACTTAAAAAAAGAAAGGGGGGGCGTGAACATCTTCTTTCACGTGCTTCGTGGTCAGTTCATAGACGTTCTTATCGACTAATGGCGAAATCTCACTGTCGTCGATAACAAGAATCTCTGGACTCGCCACGCCGTGCGCCTCTAAAGCTGTCATTTACCATAGTGAGGGGCGCCGAAACTGAGGGCGCGCGGCGCTGCTAGGGCCGGCAGTCCAGGGCGGCCGCAAGAGTTCGTTCGCCGTTCCCTGTTCGCGCAAATGCCTTCGGGCAACCTCTCTGATCCGGGTTTAATGATGTTGCTGAGAACATCCAGGGTGTCGCGCTTTGTCAGGATCTGCCAGCAAGACGGGCCCTCCACGAACTCCAGAGGAGTCAATGAGAGCAACCGAAGCTCCGGCAGGAACGGTCTAACGGTCCTTCGCAATGCGGTGATCGGAGTCTCGTCGCTCGCTTGCGCGCAGTGCACCGTCGCCCACGAGTAAACAGCCTCGATGACGTCGTATTCTCTTATCCTCAAGCACGGGTTCTTCAATATTTTCAGGACGGTTTCCTGGGATGCGGCGATGAACTCCTTGCACTTTAATACCTGTTCAGCGTTCTCTTTCAGATGCTTGTCGATGAGACCGTCCAAGGTCTTGGTGCTTCCCTTCGCTATCGTGTACTCCAAGACGTAGCAGACGTCGGCTGGCTGCATTGACGTTCCAAGGAACGCGTCGCAGGCTTCCACGAGCTTCGACACCCGGAAGGTTTCAGCAGCCGTTCGTGTGTGCAGCGCTTGCGGAATGTTGATTAAGCTGGCGGCCTGGGTGTAGAGGTACCTGGAGTGAAAGCAGATTGACTCGTTATTGAAGCAGAATTATGTACGACTAATTCTTATAACGATGTTTCAATATTTTATTTGGAATGTTTTTATACCTTCCCTGCTACCAATACGATTTGGGATTATCTAGTTTTATAGTGACTCCTACTCTATCATGCACAAGCGCTAGTTTTGTTACGAAGGAATTGAAGAAAATTAATTGGGGCACATCTAATCCTCTTCCTGGCAACGTTCTTAATCAATCAGTCCACAAGCCCCACGGAAAGGTGACATTCGAAGACAGTTTTTTTCTGTTGCCTTCAGCGTTACCATATCAAAATGATTACACAGGCTTCCTAGAACGCTAGGCGCCATTTTGTTACGCGCCTGCTCGGTGGCTTTTATTAGCCTATCAGCACCCCCTATGAGCAGAACCAGCGGAACCAATCAAACGTTCGGTGCCCATTGCCTCGGTGGAAAGTCATTCGATTGTTGGTGCTTATGTTCGGGCTCGTTCACACAGACCCCTTTCTTCTACGTTACGTTACGTTATGTTAAATTATGGCATGTAACGCTAGAAGTCACCGGGACATGTGTGTTTTGTAGTAAGTGTGGCTGCAACGCTGGAGAACCAAGAGTTCTTTAGTTCAATGCCCCCTGCACGTTTCAATCTGGATGAACATCGTACCTGCGGCGTACATCCGATCGCCTGGGCCCCAACGCGGCTAGAGGGAAAGAAGGACACCCTAGCAACGATCCCTAGCCACGGCGCTCACGCCGGATTGGCTGCTCGGTAGTACGCGGGAACTTTAATATCGGATTTGGACGGCGCTTGTGTCCCTGGAGAGCATGTACAACCCAGCCGCCTCCCCCCACCCTCCCCACCCCCCGGCCTGCGTTCACGCTGCTCCGCAGCGACAGTCTGCGTCTGCTCATTACAGAACGATTAACCCCCTTGGACCCCCTGTACACGCTGCTTTGCGGCGTCCAGCCGGCAACCCAAGCCCAGCTGTCAGTTATGCACCTCCGGAAAGGGAGTCACATTCCATTTAGTTCAGCGAAGTTTCGTCGACAACATTCATTTTTTTCAGTGTCAATTGTAAAAACGAAATGTCCTAAATATCGTCAAGTGCTTCGACAAAATAAAATGACTGAAAAAAAGTAAGCCCGCATTGTGGATCGAACCGGGGTCGGCTGCGTATGAGGCCTTACCACTAAGCTACGCTACCGCTTTTGTTTCCTTTGTGGTGATTGAACACATTTATTTACAGTTATATACAAAACAATATACTATATACACATTGTTCATTCACTTGGAATATGATACAACCTGTTTACATGCTCTCATTGAAGACACACCTGGTTTTTGAATAATCAGTAATGCAACGCACCAACCAGATTACGCTGCTGATACAGGTATTTATTTTGCATAGTTAACGCTGCAATCTTGAGTCCTGGCTTTATATAATGTCCGTTGAACGCTTAAAATTACGCACAAGTTCTTTCCCTTCCGAATCGTCGCACGTTTTATACCTCCGTTGACCCACTGGTGTAGCTATGTTCTTTAATTTACCCATAAACGCTTTGCAACCCCTCCTTCCGTGTCAACCTTTCTTGTTCTCCATAGACTGTAAAGCCCTAGAACGACAAGCGTGTCTAGCATAATATTTGTTTGCTCAGAAAAAACGTAAATAGCGAGGAATTCTCTTTTCCACCTCAAAATGCTTCTTCAGTGTACTTTTAAAAAAAAATCCCCCCCTCCCCCCCCCCCCCCAAAAAAAAAACAGAAAAAAAACTGCGTGTACACAAATTACAAACGCATGTGTAGATGTCCCTGTAGCATTGCAGAATCTGCAGTCCAGGAACTAAGCCTCCTCAATGCCTCTGGACTCAAGCCACTCCTTCACCGGCACAGTTCGCGGATGGACTTCGAAAGCATAATGTTTTACAATTTGGCGGAATCGGCAATCTTCTCATTATTTTTATTCGGTTCATATTACAGTTTTGTGGAGGATCGAACGAGCTTAATCAATATAGCGGTTCAGGGAACAACGTTCTTAATAGCTGCTTCACTTGGCTTATTTTGGAGCATGACTCTAGAGAGGCCTGATCAAATCGAACTTTTAAAAATGTAAGGTGTCTGCTACTTCCTTATAAAACCCAGAACTTTTCCATATTGTGAGAGACTTCCAATCGGTTCTTAGCTTTAATGTAGTTTGTCAAAAATAATTTCTTACAAATGTCAAGGAATGGGTGTTGTGGTTTCTGGAAGAACTTCCACCTAGCGATTAATGGCATCACAAAGATATGACCTAGGCGAAGACCACCACCTTCAATAGAACAAAACAAATTTGATCGTCTGATCGGTTCGTAGGAAGATCTTCAAATAAATGCCGCAAATATCCTATTGAACATATTGACCGTCGTCCTTGAACTGTGTAGGACCTGGTGGAGGTACGTCAGTTTCGACAAGAAAAAGATCTTGCAAACGGCAGCTCGACCAAAGATTGAAAGGTACCTCATGTTCCACACACGCGCAGCCGATTTAACACTCATTCCGACGCTGTCCCACATAGACTTCGAGTTGTCCATAGCACTTAAAGGCACCCCTAAAAGTTGCGGCTTGCTTGTTGACCATGAAATGTCTACAAATCTAGATGGCATTGTCCCCCGATCCCAACACTAAGAACCACAGCTTTTGTCATTGTTAATAGCAGCACCAGACGTTGCACAGAAGTCTGAAACACATGATACTGCGTTTAGTGTGCTAGGTTTATCGGAACAAACCAGCACCAGATCGTATGCACATGCGAGGATTTTCACCTCGCAACCGTGGAAACGAAAACCACGAACCGTGTGTTCGTTTATGATGTCTCCGCAGAGTGGTTCATAATACATATCGAAGAGTAATGGTGAGAGGGGGCAACCCTGACGTACCGAGCGTTGAACCTGAATGGTCTTTGAGAGAAATCCGTTAATAACCAACACAGTCGTAACAGCAGTGCAAAAAAGTGCCACGTCTTTCTCAGTTCTTTTGCCTACTTTTTTATGTTTCAGAAGAGCAAAAAGGAAAGTATGTACCACCCTGTCAAAGGGTCTAGAAATATCAATTTGCAACATTGCAGCTGTTTCACAAGTTTCTTCACATACTTCTAATATGGACCGCACAATATGAAGGTTTGTTTAGATATTTCTTCATCATATAAAGCAAGTTTGGTTTTCTCCTACAACCGAGAATATCACACTTTGCAATCGAGCAGCGAGCAGGCGGGTGAATATTTTAGAGTCACAATTTAGATGGCTAATTGGTCTGTAGCCACCAATCTGCTGTAGCTTGTCTGGATCTTTCGACTTTGGTATAAGTATCGTGGGTGCTTTTCAGAACAATGGCGGTAGGCGGTAAGACACCTTTTTCATATGATTCATTGAATATACGAAAAGTACTGGTGAAAGTTCTTGATTCCACTTCTTAAAGAAGCCAGCCGGCAGGTCATCCGGACCGTTTCATCTCAACGAGTTTAGTCTCGATTTCTTCAACCGTCAGGGTCCCATTTAGGCTCATGGTCACATCAATAGGCAGGGCGGGTACTGCAGATAATATTTCATCTTGTAATGGGTGTGTTGGACTGCACCTTTGCGAGAAAAGGTATTCGTAGTGAGATACAAAAGCATCTTGGATATCAATTTCATCAGTCAGAAGCGTCCCATTCTGTGGAAGGAGGGCGACTAATTTTTCATTGGCGCACTCTCTTTCCGCGTTTAAATATATCCTCGTCGGTTGTTCTGCTTCAAATACTTGGAGAGTTGGTGTTCTTGCAGCAGCACCTTCATAACCTCTCGTGTCATGATTTTGAAGTTTTTTTTCTTAAGGTTTTTCATCTTTTTTTCAATTTATTGCTCATGCTGGAGGCACTAAAGTTGGATTAGGTATAACATGTCTCTATTCAGGTGTTTTTCTTTTGCTTTCTCGTCAAATATTTTGACTAAGGAAGGTTCGATGGTAATTTTTGTTATTTCAAGTTTAAATGACTCCCACCTCAGGCACCACCCATTTTTCGTCAGTGTGAGCTCTTATATCACGTTTTTACCCTTCTTTGAAGTCCTCATTTTCGAGTAACCTTTGATTTATCTTCCAGAGTGACCATGACTTTGACTTTTGTTACTTTTTTTTTAAGCCTACGTTTACCATAACCATGCAGTGATCGGAGAAGAAAACTGGAATCACTTTGTAGTTGCTTAGCGTATTGCTTACTGATCCTGATAAGCAGATTCGATCTAAAAGTGCGTGGAATGACCCTCGAAAGTGCGTGTATATAGGTGAGATATCTATTGTCGATGAATCAAACAAGTCGCAATCACGAATACTAGCTTTTAATATATCTGTACTATGGTCTTCAAATTTCCTAGTTAGTGCTTTGTCTCTGACATGCAGCACACAGTTAAAATCACCTAGCAGAATTACGTTAAAGCTAGTGTCAGCAAGAATTCGCACTTGACTAAATCAGCTTTCTCTCTGCGGCTTATAATTGAATGCATTCACTACAATGATGCGCTAACGAAGGTTGTAAATAAGCACGTTAGTGACTAAACGTCTACCGGCGTCTGCGCCTTCAATTACGCTGCACAATTCTGTACTGGAGGTCTTTTTAAGACAAAATAGCACAACCTGGCGAATAATCAATCGCTGGACAGCGGAATATATCGTAGCAATTCATCCATACACTGTTAGCCGAAAACAAGGAATTGTTCTCTGAAACTTGGGTTTCTTGCAGAGTTACTATGTTACGGTCATAGGGCACTAGAAAGCAAAAGAGTTTGTACTGTTTTTGATTGAGTTGGGACACCCCGAGCATTGAGGGCGAAATGCTAAATGGGCTTGCCTGGGAGGTGCCACCGATTACTGTAGTCATGCTTAGGGTTAGTTTTCGGCCAAGCTAGACTTGTTTTCGCTCGTTCTTTAAATGTAGGCTTCCTTGTTCTTGTAGGTCCAAGGCTGTCTGTGGCTCTTGTGTTAGTGAC